CACAGAAAACATTCTGCCAATAGAAGCAAACTCTGCTAAGTAAGAGTTTATTGGCTGATTACAAAAATATAAGGTGTGGCCATAAATTAATGAGGCAAAGTTATGTTTATTTATAGTTTATGGAAATCAGAAATGGTCAAAAGAAGCCAGAGTTCAAGCCTAGAGACAGCATGTTAAATCTTAAAAACCATGAGTTGTAAGCAAAGTTAGCATCTAATTAGGTGACTACACACCACAGCACAATGAACTCAAAGAGGATACTTGACCTGAATATTAAGAGATCATACCAAAAAAATTAGGAGAGAACAAGATCAGGTACCCAGTCTAGAACAATTGGCTGGGGAAAAATATTTGTTTCAAATACCTCTGATAAGGGTCTGATGTGCCAGATAGACAGCAAACAGAAATAATTAAGACCAAAAGCTATTCCCCAATAAATAAGCGATCAAATGATAACAAACAGCACTCGAAGGTATTATTAAAAACCATATGAAAGACTGCTCCAAATTGCTAATAATAAGAAAAGTACAAATCAAATGAATTCTGAGATTTCACCAAACAACCATAAAGCTAGTTGGCAAAGAAGTTTAAAAGTATCAATAATCAATGTTGGAGGTCTTGTAGGAAGATAATCCCATTATGCACTGCCAGTAGAGTTGTAAATTAACACAACCCATCTGGAAAGCAACTGGCATTATGTAAAGAAAGTAACTAAAGCGTCTATGCCCTTTGACCCAGAGATTCTGCTACTGGGCACATACACCAAAGAGGCTAATGGTAAAAAGAACGGCCTCACATAAACCAAAATTTTTCTAGCAGTATTTCTGTGGTAACAAATGGAAATAAAATAGAAGGTCTTCCACTGAGGATGTGCTAAGTGAGTTGTGGTACATAAATGTAATGAAATATTACTATGCTATAAGAAATTATTAAGAAGATGAATATTGAGAAGCATAGGAAAATTTATATGAACTGATCCAGAGTGAACTGATCCAGAGTAAAGTAAGTGGAACCAAGAAAAAAAAAATACAATAACTCCAACAGTGTAAATGCAAAGAACAACACAATCAATAATGAATGTTTTGAAATCATTATGATCAAGCTGGGCTCCAAAGAAGAGATATGAAAAAATATCTTCTCTGCTTCTTTGCAAAGGCAGGAGACTATGGGTGTGCAACATTATATACAATGCCAGACCTTTTCAATGTGTTGTTTAGTTTTCCTTAACTTTTTTTTTCTTTTTTTCTTCTTTGTTATAAGGCTAGGGAAAGGGGGAAGGATACATTGGGAAATGTAGACCATGTAAAAACAAAAGATATCAATCAATAAATTTATTTTTAAAACTTAATTAGTAGCTAATGTGAATTAGTAATTTCTAAGGTAAAATGCTCAGATCCAGATAGCCACACCAATGCTTCTGAATCATCTGAAAAGTTCAAAATGTCCAAGTGCTCTCTAACTCATTTTGGTTGTAACCTAACACCCACCTTGACCCCAACCCCCACGCCTTTCAATTAGATCACAGGCGTAGAAATTCAGATATCATTTAGTTGAATTCCCTCAATTTACAGATGATAAAACTAAGGCCTACAACAGCTAAGCAATTACCTATAGTAATACATATATCTATTTATCAAGCTTCTTCTACCCTTTGGCTTTCTTCATCTTTCTTATTTATTTCACCATTAAAGTAACCCAGGAAACTAGGTGCTAAAGTTCATTTCAATGCAACATTAAGCTTTCCATATCTTTCTTTTTAAAGAGAGCACCTACTACACAAATAATTAGGTACTTTATAGAACAGATGCTAAAAAGAGTGTTAGTATTCTCTAGTTACATACATACACATACATATATACACATATATATCTATACACACACATAATTATAGTAAAGAGAGTAATTGTCAGAACTTTCTGGTAGGCAGGAAAAATATCCCTGAAAGATTATGATATGATTCCATCAGTATTTCTAATTGAATGAACCTGGATTTCAAGTTACACTTGTAAAGGTATAATGAATGTGTAGTATAGGAGAATTCATACTTTTCTGAGAGATGAAACATTTTTGATAGCACATATTTAATTTGCAAAGGTTAGCATCCTACTATACTTTAATGCCTGTGTTAATTATGGATAAGACCGGCCTGAAACAAAACAAAATCAGGTTCAGTTTTGGTGTCCTCTTTCTCCTCTCTATAGACACCCTATTAAGGACTTTTAAGCTGCCCTAGTTCCTTCTGTGACAGAGGAAAGCAAACTAGCTCATGTTACCGTAGTACCCCTTCTACGAACATCTGCATTGTATTTTTTTAATAGACTGCCCAATAAAAAGTAATACTTTTAAGTTTTACTGATATCTTTTTTTACCAAGCATTTTTCAATATAATATCTACCCATCCCTAAAATGAACCTTTTCATGTAATAAATTAAAACTATTAGGCTAAACCAAACACAGCAACCATGTCTGACCACATGTGTAACATTCCCCACTTACTGCCTTCCACCTCTCTACTGAGAAGGGTTAAGTGTGATTCATCATCTGTCCTCTAGCACCAAGACTAGTCATTGCATTTAATCTAAGTTTGGCAGCCATTAAGCATTGAATAAGCATACGTACATATGTTATGTTTTACCTCATGGCTCAGGTTAGAGCAAAGACTCAGGCTTGAAGATTTATAGGAAACTGGCACTTTGGAAGGTATTACAAGCATGAGACTTATCAATATGAGATCCAGCAAGCAGGCAAAATCAAAGCATCTGAGCTCGCATGCGTGCGCGCACGCGCGCGCGTGCACACACACACACACACTCTCACTCTATACAGTAATACAAAGATTAAGCCACACATACAGAGCCAGAGTCACTCACTTAAGAAAGGCAAGATGTGTATGGTATGAAAGATTTGAGTGGCAGTACACAGTAGGAGTGGGATCTGAGGAAGTTTTATACTTTAAATATGGGTTTGGTTGAGAATAGGTTAATCAATGCTAGATATGGGAAGGGGCATTCCTAAATCAGACCCAGATGTGGTGAGGAAATTCCCAGGGTTACTTATTGATACCACATATGGGCAGGGGAGTTTCCTAATCAGGACCAGAAATTGGGTGAGAGCTTGAGTTGATAACTGGGGACCCCTGGGTCTTCTGCCACAGCTCCTTGTGTAGGCCAACTGCCACTGTCCAATTAGGAGCTATGATCATTTACAGGTTTGACACTGGGTCAGAATGAGTAAGGACATGAATGTATATATGTATGTATCAGCATCAGAGCTTGTTTTCAGAGATAGATGAGGCAAAGTTTTTTTTACTCCACTCAACATTTTTCCTCTTACTCCAGGTAAGAGTTCTTTTATGATTGCCTTTATTTCTTGTTTGGTTATAAATTCCCATCCCCCAATCTAAGTTGGAAAAAGCAACTGTTCTCAAATGTTCCATGGGTATATAGCCTTTTACATTTAAGTCACTAATCCATTTGCCATTTACTACGGTATGTGGTATAAAATACTGATTTAAACTTATTTTTATTTAATTTTTCCAAGAGAGTTTATCTAACTTTGGGTTACTGTGCTCCTCTGCTTTGGGGGTCCTGCTTATGCCTTTTTTTTGTATCCCTAGCACTTAGCACAGTGTCTAGTACACATTAAGAACTTAGTGAATGCTTGCTGATTGACTGCCTATCTAGTGTCAAGATACAGTTAGGAGACATCCTATTTTCTAGAGCTAAGGCCCAGCAAGCAAGCTGTGCCCTGAGCTTGGCCTAACAACAATCCTTTGCACTCACCCTCTGGATGATCTCAGCCACAGCAAAATCCCAGAATTATTCCACATAATTATTGTATTGCTTTGACCAGCACCAGGTGTTCCCTGAGCCTGGACAAGTACCTGCAGTCTGGTCATGAAGACCTGCTATGAATCAAAGTTGTTTCACTATTGTTGTTTTCCCTCGTAGTCAGGGCTACAAGCTCTCTGTGAGGCCATTGGTTTAAGTCTGAGATTTGCCCAAACTAAGGCATGGTCCCCCCCCTGCGGGGGAGGGGCCCAGAACAGGTATCTAACTTCCCTCTTTGCTTGCAACCTGTTTCCCTTACTGTAGAATATAAACTTCTGTCTTAGTCTCTGCACAGTTGTTCTTGCCTGCTCTGTCTGTTCAGCTCCAGCCTTCGCAAGCAAGTCCAGTTGACACTAGTCTGATCTATTTTTGTATGTTTTAACCTATAGATAGCTTTTATCTAACTGCTTTATAGTATAGTTTAAGATCTGATATTAGGCCCCTTTCATTCCTTTTATTATTATTATTTCTTTTGTAATACTAATTTTGTTCTTGCTAACATATTTTGTTATTATTTTGTCTAGTTTCATAAAGTAATCTCTAGAAAATTTGATTGTTACAGCACTAAGTCTATGAACCTATTTAAGTAGTATCATCATTTTATTATATTGACCCAGATTAACAATGAACAATAAATATTTTCAATTACTTACGTCTTCCTTAATTTTTATAAAGATTATTTTGTAGCTTTACTTATATAAGCCCTGCATGTGTCTTGGTAGGTTAATCCTAAATGTTTTAGATTGTGCATTTTGAATTATTTTGAATGGTACTTCTCTATCCTTTCCTCTAAATTTTTGTGAGTACTATATAGTGATGCTGATGATTTTTGTATATTCATTTTTGCATCCTGCTACTTTACTGAAGCTATTAATCATAACTCATTGTCCAGAGTTTTCTAAAGCATTATGTCCTCTAAAAATAGGAATAACTTTGTCTTCTCCTTGCCAATGTTTATGCCTCTAAGTTCCTGGAGAGGGTGTTACCTAACCCAAAAGTAAGAATACTGGAATTTAAGGCGCTGTGGCACCGGGATTGGGCAAGAAACTCTTCTTAGTTACCCCTCAAGTCATACCAAACAGGTAAATAACTTCTCTATAGTCAGCCCTGAATACATTAGGTAAATACCCTCTCCATATTCAGCCCTGAATATATATTCAGGTGTCTTACCTCTGCTGCATATTTCACTCCGTCTACTGCATGCTCAGAGCCCTGATCGTCAGTGGAGCCCCAATGAAGGTGAAATTGTCGTAGCCTGTAGGTTCCAGTGAGGGGACCTCCACTCAGAACTAAAAACCAACAAAATTTGAATTGTTAACAAGAAACAGCTTTCTGTAATCTTGAAGATCAATGATTTAAAAGGCTATGGAGTCCACATAGTAACTTTTTAGAAAACAAGAAGGAATGTTTTTCCCTGTTTAAATACAATGGAAGCCAAAACAGGTAGAGGAACTGAAAATCAGAAATCAGGAATCCTCAAGCCTGAACCAAGTCATCCTGTCTGAACTTTAGTTTAGTCCTCTAAAAATGATGCTTTAAGGTCAGATCTCTCCTCTCTCAGTGAGATGAAAGGCTTCCAAAGCATTTCTTCCCTCCTTCTAGTAATTCTGATGGAAACACATCAGTAAGAAAGATACACAGTCATAGCAAAATTCCCTCTTCAAAAAAATTAACTTTGCTATTAGGTAATATTTGGTCCCCTTGGGGAAAACACAGAGAACCAGAGAACTTCAGGACCCTGGAAGAACACTGTCATCTAGTTCAACCTCCACATTTTACAGATGCTAAAGCCAGGGCAATAAGATGCATACAAAGGAGATATACAAAAGCTTCAAAGGTTGAAGGCAGTCTTAATTGGTCTCCTCACAACTACTCTTATCTTGAGCAGACTTAAAAGGAAATGGGAGTAATGAAGATGGAAGAGATGGAAACAGCATAAGCGCTATTGAGCCCCTGTCAAAAACCATTTCTATCAGTCCAATTGTGAGACAGAAAGTTGGCAAAGAATTCAGCTAAAACCATCCTCCTCTTATGATGTCACAAGGAATCAAATACAATGTGCCACACTTGATAATGGAGAAGTGTTAACAGAAGTATCAGGCTTAACTGCATACTAGCAGAAAGAAGAATCAAAGAGCAGAAATCTTATTTTTCACCTGAGACATTTTCTTCTTTTTGCTTCACGTGGGAAGGCAGGAATTGCTGTACAGATCTACTTTGTTCTAAGTCACTTTTCCCTTGCTCAACAGGACTCTGTGTTTCAAGATTAATATGTGTGACTAACAAGTGTTGACCTTAAAAACTCCTGTCAATTAAAAGAGCTCATACTTATAGACCGTGGTTTGAGAATATTTAATCACAGTGTTGAGAAGGGGCCAACTGGCAAGGGCTCCTTTTGGATTCATTCTCTCAGATGTCTTTACAATAAAGAAGACGTCAATCTCCCAGAGCCTTCTCAGTAGTGGCAGACAAAAGAAACCTGAAAATAAATAGCTTTTAACCTTACATACTAGAAAAGAGGACTCCATCCTTTCTCACTCTTTTAAAAACAGTTTCCACAATGCAAATCTATAATAAAAATCCAAGTATGCTTCTGGAACTTTTAAAAAAGTACTTTTGAAGGCCAGGTATAGGGCAAGTGATTTAAAAGACACATTTTCCTAAATGAAATCACAATCTAAATAGAGTGCTTTGCAAAGTAAAGCTGTCAGTCACTAATGGGCAATGAAACACTTCATGGAAAGCAATCAACAGTGATATTGTTGAGGTGGACTGAGTTGTCACAAAAACAACCCCCCCCAGCCTGACCTCCTGAGTTTCTACTTCAAAGGATCGCTAATCACAATTGTAAACTCTCCTACCCCAAAGGATCGCTAATCCACAATTGTAAATTCCCCTACCTCAAAGGATTGCTAATCCACAATTGGAAACTGCTGGGTATAAAGTTTTGTTATTTCCCTTGCTTGGGACTGCTCTCCTAGGATTGCATCCTGGGGACAGTCGCCGGCCGGCTCCAGTAAATGCTCTCTATTTTCTAATTTGGCGTGTGTCTGGTTACTCTCGGCCCGTCCATTTCATTTGGAGGTCCCACCGAGATTGCCCTCTGGGCACCAGACACGGGCATCTCTGGAAGGCCAGGCTTCTCACCGTCCAGGGGGTGGCCACCAGGAAGACGTTCCCTGGCCCCGAATGCTGAGATAGCCCGTGCGCACCAGGCTGCCCGGACCACAAATCCTTAATTGGGCATAGAGCAATCTGTAATCTGTCTGTTCTGGTGAGTACTCTTCTGAAGTAAGTGGCCAGGCTGGACGCAGCTGCAACGCCCTTACTGACCTCCACGGGACGCCGTGTGAGAGTCCTGCCTGTCTGATTGTGTCTGTCCGGCGCCGATGTCACTGTGTGTGTGTGTGTCCACTGTGCGCTCCGTGGTGGGGTGGGGGGGGGAAGACTTCCTGCCTCATTCTCCAGGCTGTTCGGAGCTGAGATGGGTTCGTTCCCCGCTACTGTGTCAGGAGCATCCAGGGTTTTGACTGTGTCTTTTTCCCGTTTTTGCGTCTACTGTGTGTGCGTGCGTCTATCTACTATTTGTTCCGTGGGGGGGGGGGGGGGGTAAATTCCTGTCTCGTTGTCCAGGTTGTTCGGAATCGAGGCAGTTTGATTCCCCTCTACCCTTTCTTGACTGTGTCTTCCCTGTGTCCGTGTTTGGTCCTTGCTTACGTGAGCACGTCTATTTGTTACTCTTTTCTTTCTCAGTCCTTAATCCACCATGGGACAGGGACCCTCAAGCCCTAAGCCAGGCTCCCCTCTCTTTATTGTCTTACGGAACTTCAAACAATATCGGCGTATAGCAAAAGGTTATGGGTTTCAGGTTACTAAAAAGAAATTAGCTCTCTTTTGCCAACAGGAATGGCCCACCTTCGAGGTAGGCTGGCCCCCGGAGGGTACGTTTGACGTCTCGGTGGCCGGCCGGGTAAGGGGAATTGTCTATGGTATACCTGGCCACCCCGATCAGGTCCCCTATATCACCGCCTGGATTGATTTCAAACCCCCTTCGGGACCACTACAGGTCCAGGCCCTTTCAAAACTAAGACCAGGAACGAAATCAAAGACGACCTTTAGCCGCAAGCCTCCCAAAAGTCCTAAGGTCGTCACACAGCTTTCTCCTGTCTTACCACCCCCTGATTCTGACCCCCTAGATCCAGCTGAGTACTCCCAGTCCCAGGTTTCAGATCCACCCCCGTACCCAACCTCAGGGTCTCTGAGCCCCTCAGCCCCTCCTCTGATAAGTCCACCCAGCCCCTCCTCTGATAAGTCCACCCCATACTCGAGCAGGTGCTCCTTATGGCCCTTCTAATTCCAGTTTGACCCCAGATTCCACTGTGTCAGCGTTTCCCCTGCAGCAAGTTCCTTCCCCTCCCGGAGAATCAGGGAGACCGTTCATGGTATATGTTCCCTTCTCCACCAGTGATTTGTACAACTGTAACAACTGTGTTTGGTGTTTGGAAACACCAAAACCCATCCTTCTCTGATAAGCCCCAGAGCCTAATCGCCCTCCTAGAGACTGTCTTTTATACTCATCAGCCCACCTGGGATGACTGCCAGCAGCTCCTCCGGGTTCTTTTCACAACCGAGGAGCGTGACAGGATTCTTTTAGAAGCCAGGAAGGGAGTTCTGGACCCAGATGGACATCCCTCTACTGACCCGGGGCGCCGTAACCACATCTTCCCTGAGAACCGGCCCAACTGGGACCCCAACACTGATCGCGGTAGGGAAGCACTGGACAGGTATCGCCAGTTGTTGCTGGGAGGGTTACAGGCAGCAGCACGGAAGCCAACCAATATGTCCAAAGTCAGTGAGGTTAGACAGGGCAGGAACGAGTCCCCAGCTGCATACTTGGAGCACCTCTACGAGGCATATCGAACCTATACCCCTATCGACCCAGAGGATCCCAATAACCGGAGAGCCATCGTAATTGATTTCGTAGCCAATTCAGCTCCGGACATCCGTCGGAAGCTACAGAAACTTGAAGGTTTTGAGGGTAAAAATCTGACTGAACTCATGGAAGTGGCCAAGCGGGTGTTTGACTATCGTGAAGAGACTCAAGACAAGCAAACTCGCACGGTCGCAAGGGCGGTAGTGGCAGCTTTAGCACAGGTTCCAGGGGAGGCTCAGAAGCAAGGGTGGAAAGGAAGGCGGGAGGGGCCAAACGCTGGGAGCCCCTATAAGGGTAAAGGCTTGGGAAGGCCTCCTTTAGCTCGGGACCAGTGTGCTTACTGCAAAGCCATGGGCCATTGGAAATCTGAGTGCCCTAATCGCGGGCTGAAAGAGAAGGCAGAGCCTTTATTGACTTTGAATACAGACTAGGGGTGCCCCGGCTCAAAGTCCGTTGTGACTCTTGACCCCCTGGAGCCGAGGGTTACTCTCAGTGTTGGGGGTCAACCTGTCTCATTCCTAGTCGACTCTGGAGCTGCAGCATCGGTCCTGAAATCCCCACTGGGCTCCCTCTCATCATCCACTGTGCAGGTCCAGGGAGCTACTGGACGAAAATAGTCTGTACCCCTCACCACTTCTCGGGAAGTCCGGTTAGGGAAGGGCCTAGTCTCCCATTCATTTCTAGTAATGCCTGATTGCCCTTACCCCTTGCTTGGCCGAGATCTCCTACACAAGCTTCAGGCTATCATTTCCTTTAAGGGACCTAACCCCACTCTCGGGTTTAACCTGCCACAACTTGTTCTCACCTGCCCGTTGTCGGAGGAGTCTCGCCTCCTCCCCCTAACGTTTTCCCCAGACCGCCCCTCGACCACCTCCACCCCTACTTCCCTAACTCTGTTGAACCATTTCAAAGGCTTGGTTCCTGGGGTCTGGGCTGAGACCAACCCGTTTGGTCTAGCAGGACACCAGCCCCCAGTGGTGGTCCAGCTCTCGTCCACAGCAACCCCTGCGCGTGTCCAACAATACCCGTTGACTCGAGCTGCCCTTTTGGGCATCAAGCCTCACATCGATCGACTCTTGGCGGCAGGCATTCTACGACCCTGCCAGAGCTCATGGAACACCCCCCTACTTCCAGTTCGCAATCCCGGGTCTGGAGACTTCCGTCCTGTCCAGGATCTACGAGAAGTCAACGCCCAGGTGGAAACTGTACATCCTACTGTACCAAACCCGTACACGTTGCTGTCTTCCCTGGATCCTGCTCGGACTTGGTATACTGTTTTGGATCTGAAGGACCCTTTCTTTTCCATTCCCTTGGCACCAGTAAGCCAACCTATATTCGCTTTTACTTGGACAGATC